AGCTCAGTTTTGAAATCAACTCCTAGTAGAAGTCAAGAGCTGCAAGATGGGTGAGTTTTAAACTGGATGTTTATATATATTTTGTATGTTAATTGAATAAAATAGCTGATGTTTGAACGTTATTAACCAAGTAAAAGTGTCTATCACCTTGTTAAGTCTGTTATTTTGTTGTAACGTTATCCATTGTCTAGGCAACTACTTCATTGATTACTCCCTACTCCTTCATATTACTCCCTACTTCATTGATGAGTTTTTCTTCGTCCATTTCGCTCCACTGCTACGCTACAGAAATTACCTGAAGTGTGTTGTGACCCTGGTAAATCCAATAGGTGGCTCTACACGACCGTGAATGTAACCACGTGAGGCAAACGTTACATCGCCTATGCAATAATATTTCGCACTGATGGGTTTAGACTGGTACTTAATAATAATAATAACCCAGTTAGTGTATGGTTAATATGATAGAGTAGCCTATTGAAAATGGATTTAAAAAGGCTATGTTTGTTTACATTTTTTTTCCCAATATGACTATTCAAGCTGTTAGGAATTAGGAAAATTAGGAATGTTAAATAGGCTTAAATGTATATTGCAGTACAGGGTGAAGTCAGTATGTACATTAACGACGATTTGAGACAAATAAATGCAATTTTAATATAAAACTATGCAAATGGCGCTCTGTGGCGCGGCAGGGTTTTGAACACGGTCCTGAGCCGTAGCTGGGCGGCGCGCGGACGCTGAATGGCGCCGCCGGTGTGTGTACACACATAGAGAATAATGTGTTCGAATTTTGTAGACATGGCGCTGTGCGACGCGGCGCTGCGCACCCGGTGTGCGACCCCCTTTAGGGTTATTTGATTTTGGTGTACCAATTGGCTTTTTGTGTGTGTGTGTGTGTGTGTGTGTGTGTGCTTTCCTTTCTATGACACATTTCTGACGGGATTGCCATGCTTTGTGCATGCATTTTTAATCATGTAATAACTAACGGTCTCAAAGATGACATTACTCAGTTCATGTTGTGTGAATGTTATAATAGCAAACGTTTTTTACAATTTAAATCAATTTCATATAACTTAAAAAAAAAAAAAAATATATATATATATATATATATTATAATTTATATTTCCTCACAATATGTCAAATGTGCTTGTTAGGTGCGGCAGCTTTTATACATTTTACAATTTTAATATGCAAGTTAACATTAACATTGTCAAGTCAGCAGGGCTAACCTTAAAACTCGCCGTTTGTAAAGTTACGTTATGTATTAACCTAATAAAAGTCTGTCTAGCTTTAGCAAATGTAACATTATGCCGGTCCTATTAACGTTAGCCCTGAATGTGAAACCTGCATCAGCAGCGAGCAAGCGGCGCCGCACCAAGGATGAACGACTTCAAGCCGAATCTGCCTGAGCGTGTACGTCTCCGCACCGGCATCCAGTTTGTCTAAATTTCAGTTCATTGCGAAGTTTTTTTTTAGTATTAAGGTTTTGTTTACTGTGCAATGAACATGCTATGTTTGAAATAAATCACACAAAGTTTTTGTTTTTTTGTTAAGGATTTGTTTACTGTGTGTGATTAATTTAATGAAAGCACATTCACTTCTAGTCATCTTGCTGTTAATTTTAAATAAACGTAGAGCAAATAGCTAATCAGTGTCTGGTTGTTTATTCAAACTAAGTTGTCCTAACAGACGAACGTCGCAACGCATACAGTTAAATTTTCATTCAAGCTCCAAACTGCAATTATTGTTAATGGGAAACCTAATGGCTCTGCTCTGCCGATTTTTACAAGGATGATACATCTTATCTTTTTTTCAGGACAAGGCCTGGTGAGAGCCACTACAGAGGATCATAGCCATCGTTGGAATTTTAAAAGGATGTGGCAGGTGAATAACAATCTGCCAAATTAACTTTTTTAGCATGCACATTCACTTCTGAATAATATAATACTGATTATATATGAACGTGTTTGTTACTGTAGAGAACTTAGCTTCTATTGTTTTTGACTGAAGGACTTGACCATGTTTTAAGCCTGTGCATATTAGCCTATGTGCATTTTAAAGTAAACCCCTTGCCGTAATGGAAAAAGTATGTACACATATTGGACAGTTTGTATCTGCAGGTCATTTAAAATATATGAAAGGAAAGGCATTCGAGTGTGTGTGAGGGGAAACAGGGGTAGTAGAAAACTTAGGTTTTTGTTTCCATCTATCTCCATATTGAACTGTTTTATGTGCTTACTGTATCCATGTATGGTTGTATAATTATGAAAACACGTTCATGAACAATATAAATTATTACTTTGTATAGGACCCGTTTAAGCCCGAGAGCAGACCGGAGATCTCTCCGTTTGTTGAAAGCCTTCCCGATGTTGACTCTCGTCTTATTCCGACGCCTGGCACTGGACAGACAGAAGTTGTATTGTCTTTGTCTCACGTGGAGTTTGCGTTGGGGTTTGGAATGAACAAGACAAGCCGGTCTCTTTGGGGCTATTTACACCTGGCCACAATGCGTTTTCTTAGATCGGATAGCTATTTGATTTATCAAAGCGATTACACCTGGTCACATAAATGTGTTTTTGCAAAACGGATATAATCTGATCTTCAATTCCCGCGCTATATAGGCTACAGAATTCATGAAGTGCACGTCATCGAAAGCAACAGATATGAGTTGCATTTTATTAATCATCGCCTAATTTCAAAATCAGCAAAGACAGCAATAAGAGAGAGCGGCAACAGCCCTGGTAAAGATCAGTTCATTTCTTTACTTTTAATGAAGATGGTAGTGTTAAGCGTCTGCGACTTACTTTCACTTTGATTTGCGATAGATTGCAGCGCACTGGCTTGATGAATAGGCGCTCAGCTGCTCATCTGAGGTGATGTGCGTCGTCATATATGACTAAAATAACATGACCTATAGACTACTTTCAACAACCCGATGCATTTACACTCGTCCAGTTTTGTCTGGAATACGGCCCAGACCTAGCCTAGAAATCTAGACGCACCCTAGCGGCAGCAAAAATTATTTTGCAGCAAAGTGTGGTCTAGCAACTCTCCATAGACGTTTGAGCTGGAAAACCCCAACTCTGGTAGGGCCAATCACATCGTGTATAGAGTCAGAGGGCGGGCTTAACATAATGATGACAGAGTTGCGACGGTCAGAGCAAGCTCGGACATATTCGGTTTGAAGTCGTTCATCCTCGGATGCGGCCGGCGCCGCGTGCGCTGTTACAAAAAAAGCTGTGGCGAAATGATCAACTTGTCATATTTGCCGCCCGCGCTCGTGCTGTCACGTCGAGTATAAAGGCTTTACTCCGTGTCAGCGCATGCTCTGATCAATATAGGTGCACGGACCTCTCCCGAATCATCTCCACCATAGATATGTATAAAAAGGCTAGATGTGTTACGGCGGAGTTTCTATATTCTATCTTTCTATCTAGCCTTTATATACATATCTATGATCTCCACCACCCCGAAGCACCACTACTCCGCCTCCGTTTCCCTCGTAAGCTGATATTAATATTTAAACAATCTCTATAATATTATTTTTTTAATGACACTGTCTCTTTCTCTCTCACACATATATGTCGGCTAGTTATACACTCTTTAGACTTTTAATGATTAGTGTTTTATTTTTAAAGTTTGTGGGTTGTGTAAAAAACAAAAAAAATACCTTATTTTGGGGATGGATTCCGGGAAATCTCCCTTATTTTCAATGTTCAATGTTGAGTTGACAGCTGGACTGGATACGGTGAAAGTTTATCACTTGCTCCGCTGAGTACGTCACCGTCTTTGTTGCTCTGATTGGCTTTAGCGCTATC